TCTCTCTCTCTCTCTCTCTCTCTCTCTCTGTCTCTCTCTCTCTGTCTCTCTCTCTCTCTCTCTCTCTCTCTCTCTCTCTCTCTCTCTCTCTCTCTCTCTCTCTCTCTCTCTCTCTCTCTCTCTCTCTCTCTCTCTCTCTCTCTCTCTCTCTCTCTCTCTCTCTCTCTCTCTCTCTCTCTCTCTCTCTCTCTCTCTCTCTTTCTCTCTCTCTCTGTCTCTCTTTTCTCTCTCTCTGTCTCTGTCTCTCTCTCTCTCTCTTTCTCTCTGTCTCTCTTTCTCTCTCTTTCTCTCTCTCTGTGTCTGTCTGTCTCTCTCTCTGCCATTTTTTCCTATTGCACAAAATTGTCCGAACAGCCAAGTAAAGGGTGTCTCTTTATGGTCTGTCAATCTGAGACCCCTCTGGGGGAAGACCTGGATGTCCCTCCTTGAATTCAATGAACAAAGAAGGAAGGAACGGCTTCTTTACCTTTGTTGTGTTCTGTGGTAATGTTCAGAAGGTGCCCATCTTTGTACCAGCTGATGGTTGGCGCAGGGTAGCCATTTTTGCCTGTGCACATTGCAATCTGAGGAAGGATAAGAAACAGCTGCTAGAAAGACCTTAAGCAAGTCCTGGGATTTCCATAGTGGGTGTGTATGTGTGAAAAGCCAAGAGGGCCCGTTATTCCACAACCAAACACCTTGCCTTTTTATCATGAATGTTACACCTATTAAAACGGGGCAACATAACCCTAGCTTCCATCTTGACTTTTTTTCACGCACACCCCTCACCTCCAGAGATGCACCCTGGGAATCTGCTCACCCTTTGTATATTTACAGATATATGTAAACTGTGGGCTACTAAGATGGGACACTTATAACCCCTGTCTCTTTTACGCAGAATTCGGAGCCCTCTGAACGGAATTGCTCAAAACTGTTAGAAACAAAGACTCTTTAAAATCCCCCCTCCTCAAAACCAGCTGAGGTTCACCTGTATATGTTCTCCCGTACTTTATAGCCCCCAACCCTCTGAATTTTGAATTATAGCCCATGCCCACTTAACACTGGCCCAGGGGTAGGCAACCTTGGCTCTTTTATGACTCATGGACTTCAACTCCCAGAATTCCTGAGCCAACCACGCTGAGGGGAAAGGGAGAGGTTTCCATGCTGAGCCATGCTGGCTCAGGAATTCTGGGAGTTGAAGTCCACCCATCTCCGAGTGGCCAAGGTTGAGAAAAACAGGCCTAGGCCAGGGGTAGGCAACCTTGGTTCTTTTATGACTCGTGGACTTCAACTCCCAGAATTCCTGAGCCAGCCACGCTGAGGGGAAAGGGAGAGGTTTCCAAGCTGAGCCATGCTGGCTCAGGAATTCTGGGAGTTGAAGTCCACCAGTCATAAAAGAGCCAAGGTTGCCTACCCCTGGCCTAGGCCGCTTTATGACTCATGGACTTCAACTCCCAGAATTCCTGAGCCAGCATGGCTCAGCTTGGAAAGCCCTCCCTTTCCCCTCAGCACGGCTGGCTCAGGAATTCTGGCAGTTGAAGTCCACGAGTCATAAAAGAGCCAAGGTTGCCTACCCCTGCGACTGGCCCATGCCTGCTCTTAAAGACCATTTGCAAATAGCAATTCTTTTACTTTCAAAAACTACCAAAGAATAACAACGGTGCTCCCCACCCCTCAAAAAAAAAAAAAAAACAGGTCAAAAGCAGGTAATCCTGAACTTATGACCACAATTTCTGCTGCTAAGTGAGGCAATTATTAAGTGAGTTTTGCCCCCTTTTGCGACTTTTCTTGCCGCATTTGTTAAGCGCAGTTGATAAGAGAGTAACACGGTTGTTAAACGAATCTGGCTTCCCCATCCACTTTGCTTGTCAGACGGTCGCAAACGGGGATCACGTGACCCTGGGGAGGCCGCAACCGTCCTAAGTACACGCCAGTTGCCAAGCGTCGGAATTTTGATCCCGTGACCGTAGAGGGGAGGCAGCAAAACGGTTGCAAGCGTGAAAAACGGTCATAAGCCACTTTTTTCAGGGTCGTCGTAACTTCGGACGGTCGGTAAATGAACTGTTGTAAGTCGAGGACCGCCTGTAAACGAACTTCCTGCATTTAAAGAGAGACAAGCTCACCTCCAAAGCAACGTCAGCGGTCACAGAGAGGGTCCCGGAGTTACGCGTCAGCTCTGGTGGTTCGGGGGGATCTATAAAGAGAGAGAGAGAGAGAGAGAGAGAGAGAGAGAGAGATGGTTGAGTGGATGGCTAGATATACATAAATGATAGATAGATAAATGGATGGATGGATGGATGGGTGGGTGGATGGATGGATCCGAGACTGACCTACACTTGCAAAACCAAAGCTTTTGCCTGGCAGAGAGCTGAAAATGATAAAACAAACCTTCCAATCAAAGAAAAAAACTGCCCAGGAAAGTAATAAACCTGAGCAGGATTCCAGGAACTTAAAATTCCGCCATTGCTGTTTTATCAGAGAAAGGAAATGATGGAGCGTTTTCCGTTTGTCAGCAATGAAGGTGCTGGGCAAACACAGCTGCTTCTGTTTGGCCTGCTGTTTTTAAGCACCTCTCCGAAACCCCGGCAGGAGCAAAGCAAATGAAGGGAGGCGAGTGGGGGAGAGATGGGTTCACAGCAGATGGGAAAGAGAAATTGGGGATTGTAGGAAGAGCTTAAAATGGAGGAGGGGGTGACTTGGGGCTAATCACCAGGAGACAGTGAGTTCTAGTCCCACCTTAGGCATGAAAGCCAGATGGGAGACTTTCAGCCAATCCCCAGGAGACAGTGAGTTCTAGTCCCGCCTTAGGCATGAAAGCCAGATGGGAGACTTTGGACCAACAGGAGATTGTGAATTCTAGTTCTGCCTTAGGCACAAAAGCCAGAGGGGAGACTTTGAGCCAATCACCAGGAGACTGGGAGTTCTAGTCCCGCCTTAGGCATGAAAGCCAGATGGGAGACTTTGAGCCAATCACCAGGAGACAGTGAGTTCTAGTCCCGCCTTAGGCATGAAAGCCAGATGGGAGACTTTCAGCCAATCACTAGGAGACAGTGAGTTCTAGTCCCGCCTTAGGCATGAAAGCCAGATGGGAGACTTTGAGCCAATCCCCAGGAGACAGTGAGTTCTAGTCCCGCCTTAGGCATGAAAGCCAGATGGGAGACCTTGGACCAACAGGAGATTGTGAATTCTAGTTCTGCCTTAGGCACAAAAGCCAGAGGGGAGACTTTGAGCCAATCACCAGGAGACTGGGAGTTCTAGTCCCACATTAGCCATGAAAGCCAGCTGGGTGACTTTGGGCCAGTCCCATTCTCTCTGCTCAACCCACCTCGCAGGGTTCTTGTGGGGAAAACAGAAGGAGTATTAAATG